TGTGAAGGTTTGGCCAAGTTGATTTAATTCCAATTGATCACGGTCTTAGCTTGCCTGAAACTCTAGAGGACCCTTACTTCGAGTGGATTCATTGGCCACAAGCATCGATCCCGTTTTCTGAAGACGAGCTGAAATACATAGCAAATCTTGATCCTTTTGAAGATTGTGCGATGCTGCGAAGGGAGCTTCCAATGGTACGAGAGGCCAGTCTCCGTGTTCTTGTTCTCTGCACAATTTTCCTCAAAGAAGCTGCTGCATCTGGCCTGTGTTTGGCTGAAATTGGTGAGATGATGACTAGGGAGGTTCGTCCTGGGGACGAGGAGCCTAGTGAGATTGAAGTGGTTTGTCTTGAGGCTATGAGTTTGATAGGAGAGAAGGAGGTCGAGTCCCCAAGATCATCAGACTCAGGCGGTGATGTTGAATTCCAGTTCGATTTAGATTGCGAGGAAGCGATGCTTGATAAACCAGCATTCACACTTGGACTCACTATTGGAAACGCTCGTGGTCATTTGTCAAAGGTCGAGGAAGACGAAGAAGAAGAAGAAGACAAAGAGGAGGAGGAAGAGAATGGAAGAGTTGATTCAGTGAAAATGCCGGCGGTTACCAAGCTTTCAATGTCTCTGAAGAACACTCTTCTTGGTGAGAAGAGTCAGAAGTATCAGAAACATCCAGGAGCTAGATCAGAGAGCGCATACGCATCATCTGGACACAGGAGTGCAGACGAACAGATACCATCAAGCACAAGCTTTGTGAAGCTGTCGGATATGAGCGAAGAGGAATGGGCGGTTTTTCTGGAGAAATATCAGGAGCTGCTTTACCCTGCATTTGCAAAGCGGAAGGAGATGACTTTAGGACATAAGCAGAGGTTGGGGACTTCGTGCCAGTTTTGAGATTTCAGAGACTGGAGGAGAAGAAGAAGGATCGTGTTTCTAAGGGCTTTGGTTAAGACTGGACTGGTGGAAGAAGATAGTGAAGAAGAGATTAAGTGGTATGGATTTTAGTGTAAATATTTGTTGGTTTCAGCTTTTAGTGTAGAGGAGATACGAGAGATTAAGAGAACTTAGGTATGCGTCTTTGAATTTGTTTCTTTCATTTTTTTAAAAACTTCTTAAATCCTCATGGCCTCGGTGGTTTCTGCTTTTAGTGTATCCTCTTTTGTTACATAAATAAGTAACTTGTAGATTGGTGACTATTAGTGGCCTGGCCTCTTCTTGCACTCATGTGATTATGTACCCATCCTTTAAAGGATCAAAAGCTTGTTTCCCACTGTTTGTCTTGTTAGTTTTTGAATCTGGACTTTTCTCATCCTTCTGCTTTTTATCTTCTTCATCTTCACCAGATTGCTTAGCTCTATATGATTCATCATCAGCTTCAAAATCCTACCAACTGATATACAATCAGCAAAACAGAAAACCCAAGAAACAAAACACACGCACAAAAAGAGTAGCGCAAAATCTTCACCTTCCCAGTTCTTTTCCTCTTCTTGGAAGATGTTTCCCCACATTTACCTCCACTAAATTGAGAATCCTCTGATCCACTAACGAACTTGATAGCTAGGATTCTTGTCACAACTACGAAGTAGAAAGGAATGAATCTTCTTGGTTATTTGAAGGAGCATTGGAAATTAAAGTATGTCGAGTTGATGAACGATCCATACCGAATAGTTTTGCTCTTATGAGAAGATGATTCCCCTAATCAAGACATAAGTCGGCTTTGTTGTAGAACTATATATGGAGCCTCGCATTCATTTCCTTCCATAAACAATTGCTTGAACCAACAACATACAAATTGTGTTTTATCTTCCCGTTTCTAGATGGCGACTTACACCAGAGAACAATTTCATCAATTGAAGCAGGGATAGCCAGATCCTGGTGAGCAAAGAGACTGCTCTCGAGTAGGCGCAGTTGATAAGAAGATGCTTCTTGGTTTCCGGAGATGATTCACACAGTAAACAGTTTGATGGAACGATGAGACCCCAAGAACTTAATCGATCTCTAGTACGATAAAGAAAAACACACAAAATGCATCTTCCTCATGCTCTTGTCGGTGGAGCTTGAGCAACAATCCTAATGGTTCAATTTTACTATCAGAAACACGAATAATACTTTGATGATGCTCTTCTTGCTGAACCATATAAAATGCAGCTAATGCACTATCAAGAGATAGAGGAGGTGTCATGCATAATATATTGGATTTCTTAGTACCAAACAGGGTAATTTCTCCAAAGTCGTACAGTCGTACTTTTGCTCATGAGATGGCTTCCCCATGCAGCCATTCACGACGATAACAGTGGAGATTTGTTCATATTCAGTAAGGCCATTTCACATGAACTTTGACTGGGTTACAAGTTGTATGCATGATGCATCGACCGCCATTTGGAGTTCATAGATTGGCGACTCGTTAATTTCTAAAGAAAAAATACTTCTTGTTTTTTTTTTTTACTAGAAGTTTTGGGCACGTAGAAAAAACTACTTTCAAGCTCCCCAACTAAATTGTAGACTGTGTTAGCACATGAAACGTTACTACGAAGTTTTAGAGCTCAGTTGTATTCAAAATGCATGCTACATGTAACATGTGGTATATTACATTTATTTACTAGTACTAAATCATCTCCATTTCTAAATTTAAATATTCTGACATGCCCTCTCGAAATGATAAATTCTTTTTGGTTCATTTATTTTAGACCAAAATCCCACTAGCGTTTGGTTGTATTTGTTTGAGCTTGTTGGGCTGTTATACCAAGCAAAACTTATGTATGTCAACTAATAACGATCGTCTCATTGCATCTCTTCAATTAGCTTTTGTTAACAACTCAAAATTACAACCACTACACCGAGAAATGGAGCTTTATCGACTGTCGTATTAGCAAATGCCAAATGGTCAAACATAGTTTCATCAAAGGGATATGGGATTTATCTTATCAGCAAATCATAAATTGTGTAGGCAGATGAGGACAGTTTTGAAGGAAACATCACAATTACACAAATATAGTAGTATGTATACTGTTTTTTTTTCTTTCACAAAATATTACGTATAGTCATAGAAGTGCAAACTATTCACAAAATACTATTTCTTTCAAAAGTATATATCTTTTTATATTGGACTGTTTGAGAATTAATTTGGTTGGTCAAAGTCACTATATATACTGTCAATGTTAGCGATATCAAATTAATAAAACTCCCCCATTCACTAAACTAGGTTTGAAGCCCCGCGCAAGTGTGGGGTTGTTTGCGATAGTTTTTTTGTTTAGTTTTATTTATATTTGATTTGAATTATGATGGTTTTATGTTAATTTTCATGTTTGTGTTATGTTTTGAATTAACCCAACCATTAACACTATAAAAATATGAACAATTTTTTTTTTATTAGAATGTTAACACCTCACTTTATCTCAAATTTTCTATTACTAAAATTTTAGCATGTTATAAATATTATGTTTGTTTACTTCTATTAGACTATAAACACGCATATGCATTTGACTCAACGTTAAAATTTGTAAACATAATGTAAATCGCATTTTCACCTAAAATAAGATAAAAAAATAATATGTATATTTTATACATATCTATTTTGTTGTGGTAACCTTATGACCATTCATTATTTTCTATTATGTTAATTGTGTAAATATAAATTTTATTTTGAAACAAACATATCATAATCCTTAAAAAATTCATGTTTTTCACTGCAGTTAAATTTACATATAAAACTTTTATTTATTTTTTCTTAGCTTTACTTATATTTAAAATATGAATAACTATAAAGAAATATGAATAGTTATGTATTTAATAAAAAAAAAATACAATTTAAGATGGATGTAAACACTCTAGATGGAAAGAGAACTCCCTAATTATATATAAGATCTGTGAACATATATAATTCGAAACTGTCTTGTACCCTCTGCTTTCTATTCTTATTGATGTGAATAAATCAATCCTGGCTGCATTGACATTTACAACATAGTACACAAGGATAACAAATTATATAAACTTTACGTAGGGAAACTAAGATATACAGATCTATCAAGTATAAGCTTTCAGTTTTCAATTTCCATAGGTAACTAAAAGTTAAACCAGTCTTTTTACTATGGTCGATGTTTGATCCAGGATCTGGCCAACTTTGACTTCAAATTTGTTTGATTTTACCAGTTGAGAAACTGATTCCAGATAATTTGGTATGAGTTGTTGTACAGTTTAAAAAGTACTAGAGTTTGACCCGCGCCTTGCACGGGGTGATATTTTCTCAATTTGATTTTATTAAAAGATGTCTATTTACATACAATTTTAGGAACATAGAGTGTTAGATGTCAATAGACAATTAAAATGTCAATTTACATTAGACGAAATTTTGAGTGATGCATATTTTTTAGCCTGGTTTGATTTTTGTCATCGTTTACAGTGTGGTAATCTAACATTTGCTTTAACAACAGTTTCTCCCTTTCCGAACCCACATATATATTAAATTTTAATACATTTAAAATAATTTTATATTTTGATAAATATAAAATGGCATATATATTTTATGTTTTTATCAATTTTAAATAACTAAAATAATTTAACTTATATGATAAGTTATTAGAATTTATTACGTTTAAAATTTTGATCAAACCAAAATATTAAAAAATACGATTTAATTATTTAATTCAATTAAAGAATCAAATTAAATCGAATAAAAGAAATTTTAAAGATTTCCAAACATGGTAAATTTTTCTTTCCTATTTGTGATTATGGTTGATCATTATTTGGATCCTATTTTATAATAGGTTTTTGAACTATTATCCCAAAATATAATCATGTGGGACATTTAACATTTTTAGAGATTTGCTTCATTTTTAAAAATTCAAACCATAGCATATGTAGAAAAAAACTAATTTTCTTTTTTTAAATATTTTGATGTGATGATATAATTTATTCTTGAAAGTAAAGCTAAACAAAAATGATAGATGAATAAATTAATTTTTAAACAATTAATATAATACAATTGAATAAAACTTTCCATATTTTACTGATTGATTGACTAATAAATAAATTTTCGTCATTACCAAATAAGGAAACTGAAAGAAAATAATTTTCATTAATAATTATTTTTCTGACTAAATTAATCATATATATTTCATTCTCTAACCAAATATGAATGGCATAACATGTAATTAGTCTAGTAATGTTTGTCTTAATTAAAACTAACCTTGAAAGTGAACCTGGTGTTGACACATCAGCATGACATTTCTGTTAATAACACATGAGACAAAGGTTTATTTTATAGTGTTTTCTCTTTTAATATATTAGGGATTTATATATACTTTTACCCAATTCATTAAAAAATAACAGAGTTTATTAAATAGTTATTAATGGAAAAGTACAAAACACTCATATCTTAGAAGGGAAAACAACATCAAAAGCAACAACCCATAGTACAAATGCACATGAACTATAAGTACAAACGAGAGTACATTTCTTCTATACTGAAGTCGGGAAAAGGAAAACTTTTTAAATATGGATACGATGTCACTTATTAAATACAATCTTCTTTGAGACTTACTTCATCATGTATATAGGGTTAATATATTGGTGGAGAGCTATAGACGTAAGCAGGTGGCGGAGGAGACTTGTAAACATATGGAGGTGAGCTGTAGACATATGGTGGTGGTGAAGGAGACTTGTAAACATATGGAGGTGGTGGTGGAGAACTGTAAACATATGGTGGGGGTGGAGGAGAGCTATAGACATAGGGAGGTGGTGGTGGAGAGCTATAGACGTAGGGGGGTGGTGGAGGAGACTTGTATACATATGGAGGTGGTGGTGGAGAACTGTAGACATATGGCGGTGGTGGAGGAGAACTATAGACATAGGGTGGTGGTGGTGGAGAGCTATAGACGTAGGGAGGTGGTGGAGGAGACTTGTAGACATATGTAGGAGGTGGGGGTGAGCTATAGACGTAGGGAGGTGGTGGAGGAGACTTGTAGACATATGGAGGAGGTGGGGGTGAGCTGTAGACATATGGCGGTGGTGGAGGAGACTTGTATACATATGGAGGTGGTGGTGGAGAATTGTAGACATATGATGGTGGTGGAGGAGAGCTGTAGACATAGGGAGGTGGTGGTGGAGAGCTATAGACGTAGGGAGGTGGTGGAGGAGACTTGTAGACATATGGAGGAGGTGGGGGTGAGCTGTAGACATATGGCGGTGGTGGAGGAGACTTGTATACATATGGAGGTGGTGGTGGAGAACTGTAGACATATGGTGGTGGTGGAGGAGAGCTGTAGACATAGGGAGGTGGTGGTGGAGAGCTATAGACGTAGGGAGGTGGTGGAGGAGACTTGTAGACATATGGAGGAGGTGGGGGTGAGCTGTAGACATATGGCGGTGGTGGAGGAGACTTGTATACATATGGAGGTGGTGGTGGAGAGCTGTAGACATATGGTGGTGGTGGAGGAGAGCTGTAGACATAGGGAGGTGGTGGTGGAGAGCTATAGACGTAGGGAGGTGGTGGAGGAGACTTGTAGACATATGGCGGTGGTGGTGGAGAACTGTAGACATATGGCGGTGGTGGTGGAGAGCTATATACATAAGGAGGTGGAGGTGGTGAATTGTAGACATAAGGAGGTGGTGGAGGAGAGCTGTAGATATATGGAGGAGGTTTGTAAACATATGGAGGAGGTTTGTAAACGTATGGAGGAGGTGATGGGGAGCTATATGGCGGAAGCGGGGGAAAAGTATAAACATACGGTGGTGGTGATGCTGGTGAGTATTGGGCACTTGTATGTACAACAATGGCATACAAGGCCAAGACCAACATTAGTAGCGATGACCAATTAGAATTGGCCATGTTAACAAAACTTGTGTGCACTTTCTTTTAGTTTAAGATTCTCTAACAAGTTTAGTTTTGAATGTGTTGTAATAACAAGCAAGCGGTTTATATAGCAGCCATCGCTGCAAATGGTATTATTGTTTATTAGAGGTCATGAATGTTTCCTTTGCAATAGGGTTAATAGTTTAATAAGTCAATTAATTTCACAATTTGTTTAATTAAGGTAAAAATGAGGAACAAGTCTTTGGTAGCTACGTCTTACCATATTCCACATTCGGATAGCAGACTTTGAAGTTGTCAATCTAAACTCGACATCATCTAATATAGCGTTAAATGCTAATGAACATAAGCAGAAGAACTTTTCCATGATAACTTGCAAACACAAATTTACTGTTAGAATTCATTCAAGTTATCTTAACTCACATGATTCATGATTTAATATACATCACATGCATATACGCATGTCTAGAGAAACATAACTTTTGCACAAACATAACTTTGTATTCATATACAATTATATACAGATAGTTTTAATCTTCATGTGATGTTCTGGAGTATAAAATGAACCTTATAACTTTTTCTATAACCATGATGTTCTGGATCTTACAAGATCTTCAATAACCATCTTGATGTGTTATAGTATGCTCTTTAGCTACATGCTATTATAAAACTACACCAACTTGCTTGCAAATTTTTTTAAAAAAAAAATATGGATGATAAAAATCCATACATATCCAAATTTTCTATATAAGATGAATTTCTCCTGAAAATAGAAAAAAGAAAGATGGATTTCTCCTTTAATATAAAAAATACTGGCAAGAACATGACAAAAGAAACGTTTTGGTTTAGACTTTGAAGTTGTCAATGTAAGTAAAGTCGGTTATTTATGTAAGAATATAAATCCTTTATCAAAAAAAAGTAAGAATGTGTCCATCATGTTTTCTTATTGATTTCTAAAATTTGATAACTCATTGTCGGTACTCGGTATGTATACATCAATCAAAACCACTGAATTTTTTTGATAAAGATTATTGAAATATTAATTATTAATAACATGGTACAATAGTCAATAGGGATGTTAAAAAATGCGGGTTTTACCTAGTGAATAATACCCTAAACCCTTTGAAATTTTTAAGCACATAATCCTACCTTTTTTCTAACTAAATATATAATACGGATTCAAAACGGTTTAAAAGTGTACCGTACAATATTTACTACTAGTAGTATATCATAAGATACTAGTTATGGGTTCGACTTAATCGAAATACACTTTCTCATTGGTTTGACAATTATTCCAAGAGAATATTACACTCAAAGTCACTTTAACACTTACAAATATCAAGTAAAAGCACTTTATGCTTTAAAGAGACTTTGACCAATAAAAGTGATAGTAAAATCTCAGTCTTGCCCTTTTATCCAAATTGTGTCATCTCACGTGTTGCGTAAAACACTGGAATTTTACTACAACACCGCAGTAAATTTATATTGACGTAGCAGCCCCAATAATCGCCGGAGTAAACCTAATAACTGAATGCTATGTCCGACCGATCTCTATGATTAGTCTGATTTCGAAAATCGATTTGGAAAATTTCGATATGAATTCGTCGGGTAAAATTTTGCTGGCTATGAGATTCCGTCGTCGAATTCTGTATTAACAATCGATTTGGAAGATTTCGCCGTCGAATTCGTCGAAAAAAATTCTTCTGGCTATTGGATCTGGGAAATTTTCAGTCTCGTCGAAGTTTGGAGAAGATGAATCTGGTTAACTCGCAATCATGTCCACATCTACATGTCCATCTGAACGTCTTTGTTTAGATAATTAAATTTTGAGAATTTGCATTAGATGTGTGTGTGGACATGTTTCCATGTACATGATTTGTGAACACAAATATAATTAACAATTGAGTGAGTGTTTGTTGAGTTATTGTTTATCGCCTAGACTGTTTCATAGAACCGTATCCATATGCTTGTGTCCATACTTCGTATTCATATGGATATATAACATTTATGTTCATATTCATTGTGTGAACATGGTTCTGAAATTGGTTCTCAATCTATCCAAAACTCAACATACTATTTTTACAGGAAGGACCAATAGCCACATGAAGTCGTTGACATGATATTTGTGGATATGCAATCGTGGACAGAATAACATATACATATTTAGTGATGTGCCCATCTGGACATTTGTGTTTTGGATAATTAAATTTTTGATAATTTGCATAAGATGTGTGACAGAATAACATATACATATTTCCGTGTCCACACATACATCTTATACAAATTCTCAAAATTTAATTAACTAAACAAAGATATCCAGATGGGCGCATCATTAAATATGTATATGTTATTCTGTCCACGATTGCGATTAGATGTGGACATGTAGATGTGGACATGATTGCGAGTTAAACCAGATTCATCTTCTCCAAACTCTGACGAGACTGGAAATTTCCCAGATCCAAGAGTCAGAAGAATTTTTTCGACGAATTCGACGGCGAAATCTTTCAAATCAATTATCAATACAGAATTCGACGATGGAATGAAAAGCGAAATCTAAAATCAAGGACGGAGAGAGAAACAACAGCGATGATGAACGACGGAGTGTGAGGCGGAGTTGCTGATTTTCAGTGAAAGGTAAAAATAAGAAATAAAGAGTAAAGTAAAAGACAAAGTTGTAATTAAACAAAAGAAGAAAGGAGTGTTTTGTCTTTACAATGCCCCAAAGTTCCTTAGGAGTAGAAAGTGTCTATAAGTGTTAGAAAAAAGACAAAAGTACCTATAACTGTAAATCACTCATTATTCCAATTGATTTATAATCAAAGTGTTATGCAACGTCGTCATACACTCATCATACTCAAATGAGCAGTAAGAAATGCCACGGCCGGAGGCATTCCTATGCTCACTCAAGTATATACGGTCCATTTGTACTACACTTTGATTTTAAGTCAACGGTAACAATAATTGACTAGGCCTATGGCGTGGCCATCCTTCAGATTGGAGTCCTCGGATCTTTACCATATCATGACTAATTTTAGGAGTTGGAGAATAGAACTTGAAGTGAGTTGCACCAACAGAGGGGCTTTTCTCATTGCTCGAAGTGTGATCAAAGAAGGTCTCTCTCAATCTTATGTGGCGAGTGGGCATCCGAGATGGCTTCATTTGGTTTTCGATAGTGAGAGAGTCTCTCCCTCGGTGTGAGGTGTTCTTGGTTGTATTGACTGTTTATTGTTTTTGGTACTCTTTCCTCCTCTTTCTTATTGGTTTTCCGTAAGATTAAGAGAGGCCCTTTTGTTTTAGGCTGAAAGTGGCTGTGCTTGAGCAGTGTAGTTGTTTTGTTTGGATGATGGTTTCCATCGATTCCTCTGATATATATAATTCTAGATGAAAAAAAAAGAACAATAATTGACAGATCAAGACGTAAGTAGCGCAAATTTGGAGAAGGGAAGAAAGTACACGAGAAGACAAGAACCACTATGTATCATAAGATCTCCTGATGCCTTAGAGAAATCTCATAGTAGGCAAACCAGAAGACACACATAGGCTCTTGCAGAAGCCATTAAGATCAAAATACGAGTTATTTATTCTTCTTCTTCTTTCATCAAACATAAAAATGCTACAAACTGGTTCACATTAAACAAACGAAAAATATTGTATTAGGTCATGTTAAAATATATCACAAATTAATTATTAAGCGAAACAAAACTACAAGAAAGAGTAAATTCTTGTAGGTCATCTGTTCTTAAATTAATTAATCTATATAATTGAAAGGGCTTGTGACACTCTCCAGCTGATGACATGTCAGCACTCCTAGAGAGTGCCACGTCATTTTTTTTGTTGCCTCTTCTCCGTCCCCTCCAAAACGACGTCGTTTTGCTTACCTTCTCCGTCCCCTCCAAAACGAAGTCGTTTTAAGTTGAGGGTTAATCCAAACAATCCAAACACGCTTTCACACCGCGCTTCCTTCAGTGGC